TGTCGAGGGCACTCATCTCATGTTGAGGATCCATAGCCTCCTGAACAAAGCGTTGTACCTCATGTCTCCTTCGAACACATAAAACTTAGCTTCCTGGATGGTCCTGCCGGTGTTCACCGGTAATGTTATCTCCCCCTTAGTGGTTTCACATGCTATGTTGAATTCATTTAGAATTGGGACTGCAGGCACGATTTGATCTTGTAGACCGAGCTGCTCCACGACCCTCGATCGGATGATGTTGGTCGAGCTACCTGGATTAATTAACACATACTTAACTCAAATTTTATTTATGAGTACAGATATTACTAGTCCATCATTGTGGGGATGCACGATCCCTTCCGCGTCCTCGTCGTTGAAAGAAAAGCTTCCTTCCGGTATGTAATCTCGAGTTTGTTTCTCCCTCGTGATGGACACTTTGGTGCGCTTCAAAATCGGCCCCTGAGGGACATCGACCCCACCGATGATCATGTTAATGACGTGTTGAGGTTCTTCTTGTTCGGTCTGTTTGCTAGAATCCCTATTCCTGAAATGATTCTTGGCTCGGTCGCTCAGGAATTCTCAAAGATGTTCGTTGTTGAATAGTCGGGCTACTTCCTCTCTCAATTGTCGGCAATCCTACGTTCTATGGCCGTGAGTATCGTGGTATTTACACATCTGGTTGGGATCCCTTTGGGTTGGATCGGATTGTAGGGGTCGAGGCCATTTGGTATCTTTGATGCGTCCTATAGCTGATACAATGGCGGCAGCATCAACGTTAAAGTTGTATTCCGATAGCCTCGGTGCTTCTTTAGGCCTGATGGGCCTGTCGAAGCTCTTTTTACTTATGAGTCCTCGGTTGCTCTTACCTCAGTCACTTCTCCTTTCATTTCTCATAGAGTTCCGCCAGGATCTGCTATTTCTTTGGTCTCCATTATACGGCTGATACCAATCCTTGTTCGATCTCGGTTCACGATCGATGTCTCTCTTGATTCTGTTGATGGTTCTAACGAGATATACGGACCCAGAAGTGGCCCCAAGCTGATCATCTTCGACCCTGATTTTCGCTTGATATCGGTTATGTACATCGGCCCAAGTGACGGTCGGATATTCCACCATGTTCTGTTTCAACTGCTATGAAGCCAATGAGCTCCGAACATTGAGTCCTTGGGTGAAAGCCTAAACAGCCCAATCATCAGCGAGCGGTGGCAGGTCCATCCGTTCCATTTGAAACCGGGACACGAACTCTCTGAGTATCCCGTTATCCTTCTGTTTTACTTTGAAAAGGTCTGACTTCCTGGTCTCGACCTTGATGGCCCCAGCGTGTGCTTTCACGAAAAAATCTGCAAGCATAGCAAATGAGTCAATAGAATTAGGAGGTAAATTGTGATATTATATCATATCTCCCTTTGACAGGGTCTCCCCAAACTTTTTCAACAGGACATACTCGATCTCCTCATCCTCCAAGTCGTTCCCTTTGATAGCACATGTGTAAGAGGTGACGTGCTCATTTGGGTCGGTCGTTCCGTTATACTTAGGAATCTCAGGCATGCGGAATTTCTTAGGGATTGGCTTTGGATCCGCGCTAGGAGGAAAGGGTTTTTGCACGAACTTCTTGGAATCCAGGCCTTTCAATATCAGCGGTGCTCCTGGGATTTGGTCTACCCTGGAATTGTAGGTTACCACCTTTTTGTCATTAGCTTCGATTTTCTTTTCCCCTGATTCTACTCGTTTTGTCAGTTCCTCGAGTATCTTTATGATCTCGGGGTTAGTCCCCGATTCATTTTTATTCAACCTCTTTGCAACCGGTTCATCCCTGCAGATGTCTTTCCGGGGTGGATCGGGTTCAACTCTACTCGGTGCGCGACTTTAGTTGTATAACTGAGCTATTGCCGCTTGTTGAGCCTGCAACATTTCGAAGATCACCCTTAAACTGATCCCGTCTCCGCCAACGTTTTGTGTATTTTGAGCCGCCGATCGGGCTCCACCACGGATGCTATTCTCGGGGTCGGTAGGCAGGTTTGTGTCGATAGCCACATGTGAATTAGCGTCAATTGGGTCTGCGACCGGAATTCCGATGGGATCGACGGGCGGTACTTCGTCACCGGGCGCTATGTTGTTATTTTCACCGTGATGGCCGGACTCGTTGTCAACATGTAGGGGTGCTGATTGAGAGTTCGACATTTTGAGTTTTAACCTGAAATTAGAGACACTGCAAAGAACAAGTGTAAAGTAATGTGTGTTATGGAGATGTGTATCAAATAACCACTATTATCCTTAGCCCCACGGTGGGCGCCAAATTGTTTACCCTCAAAATCGGATAACAATTGAATTTGTAAGTGGTTCTAAGGGTACGTGGATTAACTTGACACAAAATGATAAATCAGATTGCAATTGAAATAAATAATGATAAAGTAAATGCAAACCACACGAATTGAACAGTTTCAGCCTTGGAAGGTTAGCCACCCTCAAGCCGAACGTATTTCGATCGATATCAAGACAGAAGAATAAGAACTTAAAGTGAATAATAATGTATTGCTTTGGAATGCATGTTACAATATGTTAAATGAATTATCAAACCCCCTTTTATATAGTAGAGGAGTCCTACTTTAGGTACAATTCTATAAAAGATAAAAATCCCTTGATTAGTTGATTGTCGGATTCTTACTGATACGCGCTGAGATTTCCGCCGTAATATCCGACCGGTCACGGATATTTCGATCTTCTGTTTGGTTATGCTAACAATGTTTCTTCGAGCTCGATCGGGGCTAAGGTCGACTCCGGGATTACGGACTTAATGTTCTCGAAGGCAGGCATTTTGACCCCGGGTTCTAGATCGGTGGGACTCGAGGTCGATCTTCAGTCTTTGGTTGTCATGTTTCGAGCCTAACCTATCATGTCGTATGCGAGCTCGATTTCGACCGTATATAATTATTATTATTATTATTATTATTATTATTATTATTATTATTATTGAACCTCTTCTCACGAGAATTACCAAGCAAACAAGTACAGTCCTAGTGATTATTTGACCATATTGAAACTTTTTTCTTGGTGATCAAGATAATTTGATGGATTTCACAAATTTAAAAGAAAAACTGGACCATACAGTACAATTATAAATTATTATATTCCACTATGTAGTAGGATGGGTGGTCGATTAGGATGTACCGCTCAGGTAGCCTAACTTACAATTCAAGCCAAAGGATAAAGACCATGTCTTTATTTTCTCCTTTTTTTTCCCAAAATCACTAAACTTTACTTACTATAATAATAAAGTCATTAAATATTTATCCACTATAACAATAAATCTATAAATCAAGGTGACTCTAATGTTTTGTGGGCAAAGTTTTGCGACTTTCAATGTTTTAGTAGGTGAAGTTCGGTTATTTTGGTATGATAAAACTGATTTGCCTCTTTACTGTTATAGTAAATTTCAGTTATTTTAATATGACAAATAATAATTTTATGATTTTAATATTATAGTGCGTAAATTCAGTGACCATGGGTGAAATTGAACCTTAAAACCAGAGCAAAATGCTGAATATTGAAACTTATAAAACAGTTCAAAGAAAAAATGATGAAATTGACAATATTTGTTACATATGTCTTGTAATTAAAGATCTCTTTAGCTGAATTAGGTTATGCACTCAAATGCATATATCTAAGAATCAATTATTACACTTGAAGAATCAATTATTTATAAGTAACTACTACGAAATAAACTCCCACTCTCTTTCTGTCAACCGATGTTGATATATGAATCTTCAAGGCAATAGATGGCAATCTTTTTTAGCAGTCCTTTTAACTTTACTATTTTAGCAAATTGGACCACACATTTACCAAACATATGACTGTTCAGACCCATAATTTAAATTTGTCACTTACCGTCCTAAAAATGTCTAAAGAAATTATTTTAAACACCATATATGGCTCTCGAATATTTTCACTTTAGTCCCTTATATGCCTTCTAATAATTTTGAAGACTTCTCATTTATACCTCTTCCTCACAAGGATTGCCCAAACGAGAGAATTTACAACTAATTTCTTGAAAGCTGAGGTGAATTATGCATTTAAATAAAATAAGTGAGATATATTACTCTCTGTTTTATTTTATGTTATACCTTTTATTTTTTACTCCGTTTTTAAAAAAAATGATATTTTCTAAATTTGAAAAATACTTTAATTTTAAAATATATGTCGTGATTATATAGTCATAAAAATGCCTATGGCTTGTTTAAGAACACTAGTTTCAAAAGTATTTTTTTTTTTGTTAAACTTTGTTACCAGTTAAATAGATTCAAAATAAAGTGAGACGAAGGAAGTAATTGTTAAAGTGAGAAAATTGGCCAAAATTAGTTGTGAAAATCATTATTATGGAATAAGTAGAAGAGGAAAGACATAAGAAGAAATCATAACTTTAATGCGACTCTTTTAGATGGTTAAGGGTCCTTAATTGCCATTTTCTCTTCTCTTTCGGATCGGTATTTTTATTATTTAATTTAATTATCCTGTATTCAGTATATAGTATTAGTCTAATTAATTTGGGTTGACAAGGACATATTAAAAGAAAGCTTTCTTTATCATGAATTTTTTCATTTTCAAAATTCTAACCTGAAATTTTTGCCTAAGCCCGATAATCTCATCCATTCTAACACTGTTACTTGGTGGTCCAAATAAGTGTCATTGTCCCGCAAACGTGACAATGAAAAAGATTAGTAGTAGTAATCGAATTTCGAAATGCTTTACCAAAAAAATATATACCAAACTCAATTTCAGTTGTTTAAAATATTATTAGTAATAGGTAATGAGATTGCATTTGATAGGTAAAATAGGCTTCCCATTTAAGTAAAGTTAGTTGAGGCCCGCCAAAAAGGCTTCCCATTGAGTGTTAAAGTGGCCAACCTCCTTCCCCACCAAAAAAAGATTATCCCTTATTCAAAAACAAATTGTCAAATATGAATCCAATTTGGTCGTTCCTTTTAGATCCTTTCATCATTAAAACCAAAAGAAAAATTATAAAAAACTCAAAAGGTGAAAGGTAAAGAGGAGAAAAGAAAAGGTGAAAATATACATACATTCCATAACAATAAAAAGGAAAAAAAAATCTTGCCAGCTACCAAGAAGAAGATTCAAAGTAGTTGGCAAGTTTTGAAATCAAAATCTAAAAAGGACACACCATATTATGTGTATAGCAAACTGAAAGTGAGCTAGAAAAGAAAAAGAGAATGGGTAGCTGAAGCTAAAGTTCAGTTCTTGTATTGCAATTTGCTTTTGGTTTTTGTTGCACCTTTTCTGATAATGGTCTATGGAAGATTCAGAACACCAGTTGAGGTAAATTGGATCTTTCTTTAGGAACTATATTTACTTTTTTGGAATATCTACATTAATTGTCTTAATTACAGGGGGGGAAAGTAAGCTTCTTTTCTTCCCTTGTTAATGATTTTTGGTGGGAAATTTAACTAATCTTTTCTTCTCTTTTTCTTCCTCTTCTGTTTGCTATTTCCTGAACTAAGAATTGATTTTACTCTTCTTGAGACCCTATTTTTGAGTGTGTGTTTATGTTGCCATCTTTTGCTGTGTGTGCATGTTAAAGTTGTGCGGCGCAATGTTTTTTAACTCTTCACTATTTGCTTGTGTACATAAGTTAAATCATTTTAGCAGCATTTAAGACCAAGATGTAAATAACTTATTTTGTCTTTTGGAGTGCTTGAGGAGAAGCTTAGATGTAAAATGTTGAAAAAGAAAAAGACAGAAAAAACTGAGCAACCCGTCTACTTAATATATGATCTCAATGAGGATACCATATACTTTTTAACGTAAGATCTTAATTTCACGTTATATCATATATGTGATCTTAATTATGGCTGGTGGGAAGATATGTACTGGCCATTATAATTTTTATTTATTTTTGTTCTTGGGTTGCATTAAATGTTCAAATTACGAAATGGAATCCTCTTTCAAACTTTAAATTTAATTTTAAGGGATCATAAAGAGATTAATCCACATCTTTTTCTTCCCTATATTCGTTATTTTTATCCATCCTTGCCTGATCTCTCTCTCTCTGAAAAATGTTCAAAGAATCATTTCATAGTGAATAATTTGATTCTACAATATTTAAAATACTAATTCCAACTCTGTGTAAATTCTGTAGAATTCTTTTAGTATCACCAAATGTTACCTTTTGAACTACATGTGTTAAATTAAAGTTGATTTGCTTACTTGTTGAAGGTGAAAGAGTAATGCTAGAACCATGGGGAAGAAAGGCAGTTGGTTTTCTGCTATCAAAAGGGTGTTTACACCCAGTTCCAAGGAGAAGCTAGCCAATGTAAGTTTGTTTCATAATTTCAGAAGCACAAGTTGCTAGTCTCTGCCTTTACTTTTTCAAAAATCATATAATTATTTCATTGGAGGAAAAGTGTGGTTACCTTAACATTTTCAAATTAGCTCTCTGGGATTTTATATTTTATTGTTCACATCCATAATAATTTAGATTACAGTCCCCTAGAAAACTAGTTTATGAACCAACTTCAACAATTAGTGTCTTATTTCATCTATCTGAAAAATGTATGTATGTAGCAATTGAGTGAACTCAAATTCGAATACTGCAAATCAAGTCGTATCTATTGAACACATAATTAACTAAGTAAAAGTGTACTCTCTATGACAGCTTAAGTTTTTAGATGAGATGTTCACACACCTGGAATCATTGGAAGAATTTGCTGTATGTATGTCCGTACTTACCTAAATTGCTCGATTGTTGCAGGAATCAGAGAAGAAAAGTGGTAAGGAAAAGAAAGGTCGCGGAAAACTGAAGCATGCAGAGAACAAATCATTTATCCCTCTCTTCAGAGGGCCAAGTAGTATTGAGAAAATACTGGGAGAAGCAGATGAACAAAAACTACTTACTCCAAGATTTACTTTACCTAGTGTTGTCTCTCCTCGGGCTTCTTCTTATAGATTTGCCTCTCCTACTGCTACTTCTCCAAGAGTTGCCTCTCCTCACAGGCTTATTTCTCCTCAAAGGGTTACTTCTCCAAAGATCTCTTCTCCTAAGGTTAATCGAAATCGTAAAGAAATCAGCTATGCTTATAGACCAGAACCAACTTTGAGGAATCTCCACCTTTCAGCAACCAAGATACAGGCAGCCTACAGAGGTTACATGGTAGGTTTCAATATAATCCCCCTTGCAATGTTAGCTAGTTTTTTTTATCAGAAGCTTGTGATTTAGTTTTAATGCAGCAAGTAGGGGAAAACAATTCTTGATCGTTAGTTCCAATAACAAAGCAGCTAATTCAGTAGAGTGGGGCTGCAATACACATTGTCTCACAAAATACTCAAAAGATCCGATTCAGATGGCGTCTTCCTCCATCTAAGAACAGCCCCTACTCATCATCCCCCCTTTTCTACCATCACCAAGAACCTGTTTCAGTTGCATATAATATGAAATTCAAACAACTACTTCAAATATAGTATCAGCAAGGGTACAAATATCAAAATTATACTTTTTCAGACCCATTGCCAATCCAAGTAGCAGTAACACACTTGTATCTATCTTTCATATATTCTTGTAACTGTGCAGATTTGAAGGTAATAACCTGCAGTTTTAGCAATACAGCATGAATTTAGTCAGACATGTTTTTATTCAGCTGTTATATGTCGAGTTAAAAGTTGTAGGTCATATAATTGCAAATATGTGAGATATTGGATATGAGTATGTTATTCCTGATATAAAATTTAGTTCGTGTGTCTAATAACCATCTACGTGCTTGAAGCTCTCTTTGTTAATGACAATGATAAAACATTAACTGCGAAAGAGCAAATCAATGTTTGTGATAAAATATATTCTTCATGAAATGGTTATGACTATATAAGATATATGGGGGCTTTACAACCAATTCGCAGTCTTTTGTGTAAAGCAGTTAGGGGTTCCTTCAACGGTCTCAATGATTATTTGCTGACAGAGAACTTCTTCCTATGCGTATACTTATGTTGGCGTTTTACCAGCTCTTTGTTGTAACTGATTAAGCTTTTGGAGACATGTACCTCCGTTGCAGAAAATTTCATTATAGTTCTGTTAAATTTTGACACAAAGCAAAATCACCAACAGATGATATGATCCAGTGTGGAACAAGCAGTGAATTTTTTTTTTTCCATAGCAAAATTCTTATCATATTGCCAAGTTTATTCTAATTGCGTACTAGGAATGGCATCTTATGTCAAGCTATGTTGCTCGGACTCTCCGAAAGTCTCACCGGATGCGTGTCGGATCCTCAAAAAAGTAGTGTATTTTTGGAGGATCCAAACACGGGTGCAGCAGCATTTTGGAGAGTACGAGCAACATAGATGTCAAGTGGAAACATGTATTCCCTCCGTTTCAATTTAAATGACATACTTTCTTTATTAGTCCGTTAAAAAAAGAACGAGACATTTCTAAATTTAGAAACAATTTAATTTTAAACTTTTCATTTTACCCAATTTACTCTTAATGAGAAGCTTTTATAGTCTCACAAATGTCATAGCCCCACGAAGTTTTTGCCCCTTAATCTTTTAGGACTACATGTTTCAAAAGTCTTTTTTTCTTAAACTTTGTACCAATTTAAACTACATCATCTAAATTGAATCTTGTTAGCTAACTTATTCTTTCCTCTTCAAGGAGGGATGAAGGATTAAGAAACCTTTGGAGTTCCATTTGTTCTCCTTTCAAAAGAAGCTGATTGGTGGGACAAGATTGACTTTGGTTCTGAAAGAGTTTATCAATTGTTTAAAAATGTTAAATTCCAATCTGAATGTTCATTGTTTCACAGGCGAGGAGGAGTTTCAGAGCATTGAGGGGTTTAGTAAGGCTTCAAGGAGTGGTGAGAAGTAGTAATGTAAAAAAGCAAACAGCAAATGCCATGAAGCAGATGCAACTTCTGGTTAGGGTCCAAACTCAAATTCAATCAAGGAGGATCCAAATGTTGGAAAACCAGGCACTTCAACACCAAGCGTACAGGAACGATAAGGACGTTGAAAGCATCGCGAGCAAATGGACTCAACTGGTATGTTTGGACCATCTTCATGAGTTTTTTCTTATATCTTCACGAGTTTCGGTGCAGAGATATTGGTAACAGTCAAAATTAAAACACATGCGCTTGGTGTTTGGTAGGTTTCTTTTACTATATGTTGATCCTTTAGCTTCGATCCTATTATCATGTTAATGTTACTACGTGTTGTGTCTGCTTCTTTTACTTTTACCTTGAGGCGGATTCACAGGGTAAGGGTTTGTTCTGCGTACACTCTACTCCTCCCAAACCCCACTTAAGATTACACTGGGTTTTTTGTTGTTGTTGCGCTTTTCTTGTTATTCGAAGAGATTTGAGTTTGCCATTGATGATTGAGGAAAAAATGTTGGTATAGTTCGAGGCAGGTAACCATGATAATTGGGATGATAGTTTGCTAACCAAAGAAGAAGTAGAAGCAAGGATGCGGAAGAAAGTGGAGGCAGTCATCAAAAGGGAGAGAGCAATGGCATATGCCTATTCTCACCAGGTACAACAGCTTTTTCATGTTGTCAAAAAGTTGACTAATGGTCCTTTTATGTTGTCAAAGATTTTAACAATTAAAATAGATGGCGAGTGCCCGATCAATTACTTCTATCCTTTAGCATGTAAAGAAATCCGGGTGATAAAGGGGTAATCACTGTGTACATATGTTTCAATACTACCAGAAACTCGGTATCCTTTTCGTGCAAATGCTAATTCATTTAGAATATTTCTTCTCTTCCTGGTTCGCTTTCTTACCAGCTTTTTCTTTTATATTATGCAAATCCTGATAATAAGTTGACCTCCAGAAATACGATCAAGGTAAAACACATCATATTACCGGAGTGGCTGATACACCCTTAGAAAGGGATGTCTGACACTGCCTCAGGAAAAATAATCTTAAATATGTCTATGTAAAATATATATTGCTTGCTTAAAATCTTGCATACACCAGTGATCACTAGTGTTCTAATCTAGGCTGAGTGCAGATTGACAATTAAATATCTCTCTTACCTAGGTTTAAGGCTAATCTTGTTAAATTACGTCTTTTATCAGCTATGGAAAGGTGATCCAAAATCAGCTCTGGACATGGGATCTAGTGGATTGTGGTGGAATTGGTTGGAACGCCAGCTACCTTCTGAAAATGCATACAAGGGCCAACCTACTGTGAAAGATATCAACCTAACACCACCAAGAGCAATTTCGGAGCACAAACCAAGTCCAACGCCTCTAAACAACAATTTGAGACACATACTCTCGGAGTACAACAATCATGAATCGATCACACCAACAAGGGCAATTTCAGAGCACAAACCAAGTCCAACACCTCTAAACAACAATTTCAGACGCCTACTTTCTGATTACGATAACCATGAATCGGTCACACCAATGTCAACAAGGGGAAAACAAATGCATACTCCAAATAGAACACCGCCAGTAAACAGAGCAAGTCTAAGAAAGTATTCAAGAACCAGAGCTAGTGGTGCTAACTACCCTTTTGATCTTCCATTGAAGGACGACGATAGCCTCACAAGCTGTCCTCCATTTTCGGCTCCGCATTATATGGCACCTACTGCCTCAGCTAAAGCTAAACTCAGAGCAAGTAGCAATCCTAAGGAGAGAATCTCACAAAAACAATCCAGTGACACAAAGAAAAGATTTTCCTTCCCTTTAACTCCAAATATTTGGTCTTCCAAGTGGAGCAAAGGCTCTGGAAAGGATTCTGCTTCTCGAAATGAAGTCGACAAACAAGAGTCTGTGGCAGATCATATAAGTGTGGATTCAACTGTCTCAATGCCCGCTGTAGTTGGGAGGAGAGCTTTTAACAGATTTGTGTGATTCTTTGTATGTTGTCTTTTATTTCATTCTTCTTTCATTTTTTTTCTTATTAATGAGTGCTTGGAGTGTTAAGTTCACAGAATAGTTGATGTACAATAAGAAGATTTTACTATGATTCAGTGTGTACAATCTTTTTCACTTTTTACACTTCACTGTCAATGGAATTGTTTTTGAACATCTTCACTTCATTAACCTTAACCGAATTATAGTAATTTCGGTTAAAATTTTTGGCATCACAATAGTTGTTTTTTTCATGTTTGGTTTGATGTCAGATTGGGCTTCTTTTTCAAATCAAATTCTCACTATTTTATGAACAGTAATTTCCCCCATTTAATTATTCCGTTTGTCACTGGAAAATTACTTCATACCAAATGACCTCAAACTTTATTCATTTTCTCTCCTCTGCTGCATGTTTTTCTCCACTGCCCCTAATAGCATAAAAATATTTTTTTCACAAACTTCTGTTTAACTAATAGACTATTATGCTAAAATATTCATAAGTACTTTACAAAAAAGTATGATAAGTTTTTTCCGTGTTTAACTAAACTTTTAAAAGTGCTCATAAGTATATCTATTTCAAATTTATTTTCAATTTTCAAAAAAGTGCTTTTGAAAAATAAATAAAATTTTAGATACACAAGTTTATTTCAGTTCAAAGAATATGTACATGAATCTTTAAATTTTGATCAAACATGATAAGACTTACAACCAAATTCATACATTAAAACTGAATAATATTCATTAATGACATCTAAAGGCACAGAACGAGGAGATTTCAATTGTCTTTTCCGTTTTCCTTTTATATTGCCTCTTACGTCAAAAATTAGGTGATATAAATATATGATTACCAATCGATCACTTTGACACATACCTTTTTATCCAATTTATTCTTCTACAGTCATAGAGAATGAGGAAACAAAACAGTATTCATTTCGGAAACATGATTTGCTTCGCGAGCGAAAAGCTTAAAACTTTAAAAGAAATCATACTCCTGTGTTTAAAAAAAACTAAAAATAAACAAAAATTAAAAAAAAAAATGCGTTGTTTGTAAATGTAATAAAAAATGTAGCGACTTGTTCGAGGCCGTAAGCAAAACAAGAGTATTTGAAAGGCACGGAGAATCGCTTATTGATATCGCCAACCTTCAATGCAAGTGTTCGTCATCGTTTATTGACGCACTTGCTCTGCAAATTGGCTTTCCTTTATTCTAATCAATTCAATATAAATAAGGGGAAAAAAAACAAATTCGTAAACCATAAGAAGAAATAATGAGTTGCGATTTCTGAAAGTTGATGACTGAAGTGGATGGTAAAGTCGTTGCATTTTTATAGGCACGAAGAGTTAGAAGAGTAACCCTAACCCTAGTTTTTTGAAGAGGCTAAATTGTTCAAAATGGGCCTACAGTTTTGATTTGGAAGTTTTAGCCTAGTGCAACTAGTAGCCCAACTAGAATATGGATCTGTTTGGCACATTTCGAATTGTTCAATCAGTTTGGAAAATTTTCAGGTTTACTTACGGATTCATAAAAAAATCCATAATCTACAACTATTAAAATAATAACATTAAAGGTATAAAAAGATATCTCCTCTTGTCGAAGTATCGGGCCCGACTATATATATTGTGGAATCTATATATATAATCTATATATATTAAAGGAATAAAGTTTACATTATGGTTAAGCCAAGTGGCAAGCTACTATAAAGCCACTTGGCAATCTTAAGGAGAGGTTGTAGGAGACTGTCAAATAAGAAAATATCATTTAAGAACTATAAATGGAATCCCATTTATTAAAATTAAATTGAAATAAGAATTCTTTATTTAAAAATAAAGTTCAGCCACTATACTAATATTTTCTAACTGAAATTTTTTATTTGGAAAGTAAAGAATTTTGATATCAATAGTATTTGGATTCCTTTTCTAACATCGAGCGAGAAGAATATATCCTACCGTAATCTAATGTGCAATTTTAATTTATTTTAAAAATTCAATATTGTTTAATGAGTTGAAGATAAATATATTTTAAGGTTTTAACCTAAAGTTCATAATGTAGCTATATTTAATAAATTCTTTATTTCATAATGGATAATCCAAAGTGTCTGTTTTAGACTAAGTTTTCTGAACTTTTAACAAGTATACAATTAAAAATATTTTTTCAAAGGCTAAGAGTTTCAACAAAAATAATAATTACTAGAAGTTTAATAATAAAAATACTGTGATATTTTGGTGAAGTACTATATACTTTGTCATATGCACTTTTATTTTTGTCTATTATTGAATAAAATACTAAATGAAAAAATTAAATAAAATATCATACTTACTAGGGGAAATAATTTAGAAAGAGGAGGATAAAGATAGTGTGAGAGAATTTATACTTATGAAAAAATTTAAATGATAAAATAAAGCAAATAAATAATTAATTCTCAAAAAGATTATTGATAAATTCAAATATTATAGAGTGAAAGATTAAAAATAAATAAAAAATTTATTTTAAGAGAAAGAAAAACCATATTCATTATAGTATATTATAATAGAAGTACCAGATAAGGATATAAAGTAGGTGACAAGCTAATAAAAAGTTACGTAATAATGTAACCAAATTAAGTAAGAGGTAACATGATAACAATAGACAAAGAACAAAAAATAGAGAATTTTTTTTTGTAAACAAATAATATAATTGTAGATATATAGAAGGATTAGACACTTAAATTTGCTATGAGAAAGCTTTTTTGAATTATGACGAGAAAAAATATATTATATGTGTTATAAAATAAAAGCAACTTGGTAAAACATGAACAAGACATGTTGTTATATGAAATAAAAGCAATTTAGTAAAACATGAACAAGAAATGGAGATAGAGAGAAGGAAGAGATTTTCTTCTTCAATTGTGTGTATTTTCTTATCTATTACAAGGCCTTTATATTGGCATAAAAAATGAAGAAAAATATGTCATTGAATATATCATTAAGCATAGAAATATGTCATTGAATATGTCATTAAGCATTTGAGAAGATCATGGGGGAAGAGTAGACATCCACCATAATTTGATTTTTCTTATAACACTCCCCCTTGAATGTCCATAGATAATGTGCCTCATTAAAACCTTATTAGGAAAAAACCCTATAGAAAAAAAAAATTCCAATGAAGGAAAAAGAATACACATGTTTAGAAATCCGCCTTTTGGTTGCTTCATTAAAAAACTTGCAAGGAAAACCCAGTGGGACAAAACCTTATAAGGAAAAAAGAGTACAACGCGTATTAACTCTCCCTGATGAGAGCATCAATTCACGTCCTTGAGCCTTCGCATCCCAATCTTGTACACTAGTTTCTTGAAGGTTGACGTCGGTAGAGATTTGGTGAACAAATTAGCCATATTATCACTTGAACGGATTTGTTGCACATTGATATCACCATTCTTTTGAAGATCATGTGTGAAAAATAACTTTGGTGAAATTTGCTTTGTTCTATCCCTTTTATAAATCCTCTCTTCAATTAGGCTATGCATGCTGCATTGTCTTCATATAAAATTATGGGTAGTTTGTCACACTTCAAACCACATTTGTCTCGAATAAGGTGTATTATAGACCTCAACCATACACATTCTCGACTTGTTTCATGAATAGCAATTATCTCAGCATGATTAGATGAAGTAGCCACGATTGATTGCTTAGTCGATCGCCAAGATATGGCAGTGCCTCCATATGTAAACACATAGCCTGTTTGAGATCGAGCCTTGTGTGGGTCATATAAATACCCAGCATCGGCATAACCAATAAGATCGAGACTACAATCATTGCCATAAAATAATCTCATATCAGTAGTCCCTTTTAGATACCACAATATGTGTTTGATTCCATTCCAATGTCTCCTTGTAGGAACAGAGCTATATCTTGTTAAGACATTAACTGAAAAAGTTATGTCAAACCTTGTAATGTTATAAAGATATATTAGTGCACCAATTGCACTAAGATATGGTACTTCAGGACCAATAAGTTCTTCATTATTTTCATGAGGTCGGAATGGATGTGCTTTATCCATATATAATCGCTTTAAAATTATTTTGGTGTATGCTGATTGATGGACAAAAATTTCATCTTTCATATACTCAATTTGTAGACCAAGACAAAATTCTATCTTTCCAAGATCTTTCATTTCAAATTCTTTCTTTAAATAGTCTACTGCTTTAGGAAGCTCCCTAGGAGTTCCAATGATATTTAAATCATCAACATACACGGTGATTATAACAAATTTAGATCCGGATCTTTTTATAAAGACACAAGGACAAATTGAATCATTCTTGTACCCTTCTTTCAACAGGTACTCACTCAGGCGACTATACCACATGTGCCATGATTGTTTCAATCCGTATAAGGATTTTTGAAACTTTATTTAATAAATTTCTTGAAAACCTTAATATGCTTCAGAACAATTTAAATCCTTCAATGATTTCCATTATACGCATATCACATTTTTCTTGTATTGCCAGATTAAAATCTGAAATGGCAACATCCACCACAGGAGAACATGTCTCTATATAATCAATGTAAGGATATTTACAAATTTTCTAGTGACACAAGTCATCTTTATGTTTATCGACTTGACCTTTTTTTTCGCACAAGAATGCATTTATACCTCCACTGGCTTTTTACTTTCAGGTGTTGGGACTATCCGTCCAACTTCATATTTTTCAGGTGAAATCAATTTTTATTGCTTATTTTTTATTTGGCCAATCATTTATCTGTCCATATTTCATGATAGATTTGAGCTCAAGATCCTCGTCAATATTAATAATATTGAGCGCTACATTATATTAACAATATCGTCGACGATCATTTTATATCGGTTCTACTATTACCCAATAAAGACATAACTTATTGAGATCTCGTTATCTTATTATTTTCAAGTACCTGAACCTTTCCCATGAGGTTTTATGAAGTGTTATGTCGTGGTGCTCTTCTAGAGCACTTGCCTCCTTATTATGACCATCTTGAACATTTGCTCCTCTCCTTTTTCAAGGAGTTTTATCTTTGGAACCGATTAGTCTATTATGCTTCATGCATGCCATAGACTCTATTCATTATGAACTTTATTTTATTTGAAGCATTAGCACCTG